AAGATAGTGAAGGAGTGCTCCAACAAAGGAGAATGGGCGTGACTGACGTAGTGAGGGGCGACGTAGCGATGTGGTATCCTGAACAATTTTAATATTTTTAACGTTTGACAATGTATATGATAGATACATATTTTAGTTATTTTAATGTGTGAACATGGCATGCAATGAACTGGTTTGACGTGGATAAGTAAGCACCTGAAGATGGCATTATTATGCCGAAACATGTAGTGCGAGGGAGAGAAGGAAATAAATGAGTGTATGCACTGCAAGACGGATTAAATAAATCGTGTACAGTCTTTGTGGATTAAAACACTTACTTCTTAGATATGAATTCTGTGACCTGCGGAAGTCTGTTGATAGTTCTTGTAATGTTGCAGCTAACGATGAAACAACATTGTAAGAAAGTCTCTGTTCTTGGCGCCCACCTGTAGTACTGTGACTGCGAATTTGCTGTATCAGACGATGGACTGTACCAATTATCTATTGCAACAATCAAGCATATACAATAAATTATACCAAATGAAACATATCAGCTCAGATATATAAAAATTATGCTAAGAGAGAAACAAGTTTTTCTTTGTTAAAATCTTTTCAGGTTCTTAACGTACACTTATGTAATCAGAATATTATTTACTACATATCACATTTTTCCCGCCATTTGAATACTGTGCTGCAAGAATGTGTAGGTCTAACTTACAGTCTTGTTTCCCATCTATAATGCAACAGTATTAATTTAACAATAATTCACATTTAATTCACTAAATGTTCATTAAATGTTTAAAATGTCATTAAAATATATGTACATGCTATTTTTGTGTATGTAGATGTTGTATTTTTTGTACTTACATGTCCTACTGAGTGTGCCGCTCGCTTAGTTGTGTGTATCTAGTATTGCTGTGTGTTCCTTGTACTGATTCTGGTGTAAGTGTTCTCGCTTAAATATCTTTCTAGGTAGAGAGTGTACTGCTATCTATTGTAAAGTTCATGTACTGTGTGGAATACAGGATTATTGGCTTTGATGTGTGCATGTTTCATGTGAAAGTTATTCCTACTAATTTTGTAAATCTGATATTTTTCTAAGGTGTTTAAGTATCTGCTCATCCTTCCTGTCCTTATGACGTCCATAGTATCTGTTATTGTTCCATATGTATGCCCCATGGCTAATACATGATTTGAATAGCTGGAATTACTATTATAGCTAAGCGATACTTAGTGTTCATTACAACAAAACAAGACAAAAATGAAAAATAAGATAAAGAAGAAGGGAATATATTTAATATGTTTTTTTGTCATATCTACATATATTTGTATTTCTCAGGATACTACAACTGCCTATGAAATGTGTTGTTACTCAGAATCTGAGACTGGAAGTGTGCAACTGATAAACCTAAACAACAAGATTGTTCTGTTTGTTTCTCATCACAAGTCACAGGTCACCACAACTGTGTGTTTTACAACTGTGAGATCACTCTTGACAATTTCAGGAACAGTGAAATCATAAACACTCAGATATATGACGTATAAGATGATAAATCATAACAAATTTTAATATATAAATTTTATTATAGTACATGATGAATATACATTTTATATCATTTCATAAACGACACATGATGGCGAGCAGTGCAATAGTTTAACGTAAATAACACACCTGAGGATGGCAGAGTGGTGCTGAAACATGTAGTGAAGTGACAAGTGAGATTATGTGCACTAGAAGATCGTCAATACATACACATCATGGACTCAGATCTCCTATGACATGAATTTTTTCTTATAGTCACTTTCAAGGTACTGCATTCACTAGGCAATTGAAAAACCAACATTATCTTATGGCATTGACTCATGAACATTATGACCTGGAGAAAAGTGATATCTGCTTGAACTTATTACTTCATGTGGGGCACACGGTAGCGTAGCTGGTTGAGGCATTATGCTACAAGCCGGTAGGTCACGGGTCCACAGGTAAAATCATAGTTTTTATGTTATCAGACAGCAGACAAGAAGACCAAAGGTTTGGAACTGAATGGCAGCAAGCATAACCTGAATTCAATTTCTTAACTTCTCCTGAATCAAATTCTGATTTGCTATCATTGTTCTCAAATATTTGAAGTCAGCCACATTTTCGAAGGATCTGTTAGTTATCTTCATGTCATGATTTTGCTCTGCATCCTGGTGATGAGATAGCAACATATATTTAGGTTTCTCTGCGATTATTTCTAGACCAGCCTCCTTACTAAGATAAATTAGATTTGTTTCATTCTGGTCTGTCACACTAACAATTACAAAGACAAAACAATTCCGTCCAGTGTGACTATTTAAGTTTTACTTCTTGAAAATAGATAAATTAGATCTTCATGTTTTTCTTTATGGTATTTATGTATCTCCCAAGTGATTTACATCATCAGCATAGACCAGAAGTAGATGAGTACCATTAAATTTTAGTCCCATGTGGTTTTTCTGACCTTCCTAATGGCATATTCTAAAGCAAAATTGAAAAGCAGTGGCAACAAAGCATCACCTTGTTTTAGACCATTCTGAATAGGAATCTTATAACACAAAACGTTTACCTATACAGACTTCACTATAGGTTTCATTTAAACACATTTTAATCAGCCTAACTTCCTTCATGGGTACCCCAATTCTATGAGAATACTGTACAATACTTCCCTTCTAACTGAATCATAGCCTTTCTTGAAGTCTACTGTCTCATTTGACTCCCGTGTTTTCTGCTGTATCTGATGAATGCGAAAGATCTGATCAGTAGTTGATCTGTTACAATGAAACCCACACTGATGATGCCCAATAATTTCTTCTACATATGTACTTAACCTTGAGAGAAGGACACTGGATAACATTTTGTTGTAACCACACCATTGAAATCCTTCCCCTCCCCTTTTTTATTTCAGTAGCTAATAGAGTCAATAATAAGAATTTATGAAGAAACAAAGGTTTAAGACACTGTAAAAACAAGCAATAGGTGATGAGCAGATAGACCAAACTTGTGCGGACAAGGACATCAGCTAGTCCTTGCGTCCAAGCATCTGGTGTTATTTTCCAAAAGGGCAGAAAATGCTACTTCAAGAAACCCCACTGAGTTTCTTTAGAAATTGAGAATTTGACTTATAGCGGCAAGCCACTTTGAGAATTCGAGAAGTGACAGTTATTACCAGCTGCAAGTCAAAAGTGGGAGTGCCAGGAGATCATTAGCGACCCCTCATAAGTTGCATCACTGCCAATTTCGCCGTTTGGTCTTTTAGGGCGAAATTCCCTTAAAAACAATGTCATTGGCCGGAATAAAAAATTAAGCCAACTCCCCTTATTTGAATCAGCCTATCAGGGAAATTAGGAGGAGAGGAGACTAGGCAGATAGAACTCAGTTAGGACCTCTGGCTCGGCAGAGAGTTCAGTCTAAAATTTTTGTCGTCTATCAACTTCTGAACTTGGCGGAGGCAAACCCTGCATCACACAAGCTAAAAGATAATTCTAAGAAGTACAAAATGACTCATATTGAGATTTAGCTTAATCCATAAGAGGACAGTTATAAGTCAAGCTGATTGAGTGCATTTTTGTGTAAGTGTAACACCAGCTGCTTGTAAGCTGAAATTAAATCAGACTGTCAGAATTTATGCAGCCGAGTGTCTTTAAGAAGAACAACAATAAAGTGTTATGGTGGTACAGTCAATTGTGTTAATTAGAGGTGCTTCACCTTCACTTGTCCGAGCCTGACCCATATTTGAACTGAAGAGAGACTCATCTCCACTGTCTTGTCAAAACCACCGTCAGCTTTCACAAGCTCACTCCCCCCCCACTGCTATGAATTGTAAACAGTCTCTAGCTGTTTGCTGGTGCCCATACTATCAGATCCCATCATGAAATCCAACCCCCAATAATCTCAACGGAAGAAGCGGTGGAGCCAGGTCAAGCCGAAAGCAGCTATGACCTAGCAACTTCAGCAGTGGCAATGCCAGGTAGGGCAGCGTCAAAGTGATCATCAGAGCAGAGGGGCCAATTGCCATTGACTCCCATTCCCTGCACTACCATTCAGATGGAGCCGCAGGCAGAAGGGCAACAAAGGGGCAGGTATATTATATGATGTTGATAACAGTGATATCCCATGATAATTACTACAGTCAGTTTTATTGCCCTTCTTGTAAATTGGTGCAATAATAGACTCCTTCCACTGATCAGGAAATTCTTTCTCATTCCAAATAGAATTAATTAGCTTATGGACCTTAGAATGTAATATTTCACCTCCTGGTTGAATCAGTTCTGCCACAATTTGATCACTACCTGGCAATTTATACTTTCTTACATTTTGCAATAGCAATTCCAACCTCAAAAAAACTAGGATCAGGTACTAATGGCTCAGATGTATGTCTATCTGCCTAACATCACTGACCCCATGTACATTACAATAACTGAGAGAGGTAGTTCTTCCATCTATTCAAAATGTGGGATTCTGCAAGCAGATCACCATTTTCATTATTTACTAAGATACCCCTAGATTGGTAACTCTTCTTAAATTCAATTATTACTCCAATATTCTTGCTCTTATTGTTCATTGCAAGCTCATTAATTTTGTCTTTCAGATATTCCCTCTTTTTGTTCCTGAAATGTCTGCTGGCTTCACGTCTTATACTGTCCAGATTATCCCCACTTATTTCAAATGGATTCTATAACCACTGCAATTTGGCTTGTTTCCTTTGATCTGATAATTCTGAGCATCTTTCACTGAACCATGGCTTATGCTTCTTCAATTCACAATAGCCTAGACCAGGCATGTCAAACTCAACTTGTACCGAGGGCCACCTCAGCCCTATAAATAATAGTCCAGGGCCGCACTTCAAAATAGAAATATACATTAGATTTTGATACAAGGAAATTTAATTCTATTTATTATTTAGGAATAATTTCAATATAATTACCTAAAGTCACATATCTTACAGTTTTAAAAAGTAAGAGAATGCCATTTTTGACAAGTATCAAACAACTTTTCAATATGTAAAAAGAGAGATTGCACAAGAAATTATGTTAGAAATAGCAAACATTGAATTTCCTGCAGCCTACTAATTTATGTCTGCGTGAGACTTCTTGTCTTCTGGTCTGCTGGAAAATTGTCTTTACAAAAAAATATTTCTACTAAAATTTTAGTATTGATTTTAATATCAATTAGCTTTAAAAGTTGAGGGGCCGCATTTTGTGGCTATGGGGGCCGCACATTTGACACGGCTGGCCTAGGCTCTCTTTGGGTGAAATTTTTATATTCTAACACTAGCTGTGCCTGGCCACGCCTTGCTGTGGCTAAGTCTGCCCGTTCCTTCCCAGCTTCATTTGAAATTACTCGACGCGTTGCTTCCGCTTCGCGAGTATGACGACCTAAGCTTGTTCTTCTGTGAGGCATTATTTGGACGAAATATTTCAATTCAAACGCATATCAATTGACACAGCTCAATCCCACTGCCAACTGCACTGAAAAATAAGGAGAACAGTTAAGAAAACGAAATGAAAAACAATGAAAAATAAACTATACTCACGCAATGAACGCTATGGTAAACGACACAGCCCAATTCTGATCGCATCTTCAAGTCTGGCTGCACGTCGCTCTGCTGCTTCCTCAGCATGTATTTGAGCCTGTCTTTGTCTCTTTTGCTCGTTCGCTGATGCCCGTTCTTCTCCAGTTTGATTTGCAAATACTCGACGCATTGCTTCCGCTCAGCGAGTACGACAACCCAAGTTTGATCTTCTGCGAGGCATTATTTGAATGAACTAAAGCAAATCGATTGCACTGATGAAGAAAAAAATGATACCAACGGGCCACTGTTATTGTGTTTCCATGGAAGTATACCCTAACTGTTCTAGCGTTACTATTGAAACGACTGCTGTGAATGCAACGTTGAGTCAAAATTTCGAAGCGCTCGGACGGGATAGGGAATACATTATCAAAGAGTCAGTTTCATCTGTTGCTTAGGAAATGCTAGCAACGGGCCACTGTTATTGTGTTTCCATGGAAGTATACCCTAACTGTTCTAGCGTTACTATTGAAACGACTGCTGGATTTCGAAGCGATCGGTGAAGAACTTTCGGAGATCTTCGATAAGAGAAAACGAACATTTACATTTCTATTTAAAACTCTTCGGAGCTGGACTATTATAACCTGGTTTCGGACGCAATAGAAGGCACAATCTGTTGTTAGCAACGACTCACTGTTATTGCGTTTCCATGGATCTTCGATAAGAGAAAATGAACATTTACATTTTTATTTATATAGAAGATAGATAGATAGATAGATATATAGATAGATAGATGAAAATGACACAGCCCAATTCCAAGGAAATGTCACACGAAAAATTAAATCAAAATGAAAATAAATTGAAACTGTTTATATTATCATATATTACATTATCAAAGAGTTAGTTTCATCTGTTGCTTAGGAAATGCTAGCAACGGGCCACTGTTATTGCGTTTCAATGGAAGTATACGCTGTTCTAGCGTTACTATTGAAACGACTGCTGGATTTCGAAGTGATCGGTGAAGAACTTTCGGAGATCTTCGATAAGAGAAAACGAACATTTACATTTCTATTTAAAACTCTTCGAAGCTGGACTATTATAACCTGGTTTCAGACGCAATAGAAGGCATGATCTGTTGTTAGCAACGACTCACTGTTATTGTGTTTCCATGGATCTTCGATAAGAGAAAATGAACATTTACATTTTTATTTATATAGAAGATAGATAGATAGATAGATAGATAGATAGATAGATAGATGAAAACGACACAGCCCAATTCCAAGGCAATGTCACACGAAAAATTAAATCAAAATGAAAATAAATTGAAACTGTTTATATTCGGCGTTGGCTATCCCAAGACTAACTCCTTCGGCGCTTACCTCCAGGCTCTCTTCCGTATCCCTTGGCATCTGCCCCGAGACTGACTGCTTCTTGTTCAAGGTGGGCTATTTATACCTCGGCGGATGGTGTGATTTCACTCGGAATCTCTTGTGATACTTGTGACCTCGTGATACTGAACAGTCGCCGAAGCTAAACTCTCTTATACATATAGCCAGCGCTCGGATGGGATAGGGAATACCTTATCAAAGAGTTAGTTTCATCTGTTGCTTAGGAAATGCTAGCAACGGCAAACTGTTATTGCGTTCCCATGGAAGCATACGCTAACTGTTCTAGCGTTACAATTGAAACGACTGCTGGGTTCGGAACATGTGGCAGGTATTTACCTGTTTTTACCTGTCACGGGTGTGACATCTACATAACAGGCACACAGATACACGTGCGTGTTCGAATGCAACGTTGTATCAAAATTTCGAAGCGATCGGCGAAGAAGTTTTGGAGACCTTCGGTAAGACTCAAACGAACATTTACATTTTTATTTATATAGATTTTCCCAAGCTCTATTAATCTTCACTTCAGCATCTAAGTTTTCCAAAGCTGCTAATCTACTTGAGATTTCAACCCAATACTGCTATTTAAACTCTACCTCATTTAATTTCTTGAGACTGAACTTCTCCCTATGAAATCTGTGTGATGTTTGTTTACTCACTGCCAATCTCTCCCTAACTTTTGCCACCACCAGACTGTGGTCAGTATCACAATCTGCTGCCCTGCATGATCGGACATCAAGTATACTTGAATTCTGTCTGCTGTTTATCAAAATATGGTAAATTTGGCTGCGCATTTTTCCATCAGGAGATGTTCAAGTAAATTTATGAATGTTACGTGGGAACATCATACATTTTAAAAGAAGATTTTTGGATGTGGCGAAGTTTACTGCTCTAACTCCATTATCATTACTAATTTCGTGCAAACTCTCATTTCAAATTGTTGGTTTGAAAATGTCTTCCCTACCTATTTTGGCATTGATATCCCCTAACAAAATTTTCATGTGGTATTTAGGAAATTTATTGAATACATGTTCTAGTTCTTCATAGAACCTGTCCTTCATGTCATCAATTTTGTCCTCTGTTAGGGCATGGACATTCAGAACGATGATATCACACCAGCGACCTCTTAGTGTTATGTATGACATCCTATCACTAACAAACTTTACCATCTTAACTGCTGATATGATTCTCTTATGTACCCCACAAACAAACAAAAAAAACCTAATTCATGATTCTCATTCCTGTGTCCATATAAAAATGTACATCCATCTGCTGGTTTGGTGTCCCTTCTGACCTCCTGTACTACCATTAAATTTAACTTATAATATGAAATTACTTTCGCAACTGTCATGAGCAAATTTGCCATATACAGACTTCTTACATCCCACATACAAAATCTCATGACCATTTTCCTTAGCTTAGGTTGTTTGTCCAAAGAATCTGTCTGAGAGCCTTTGTGACATTTTGTGAAAAGCTCATTTTTTGTGGTGAGTTGTTAGCCTCATGCCAAACTCCCAAGCTGGAGGACCACCCCTTGTCGGTTGTCTGTAACTGCCTGTTCAATATATTTGGAGCTACCCTTCATATTTGGAGGCTGTCTTCTCCATCTGCAACCTGAGGATATGCCATGCCATGGTGACTAGACATGGAAACCTTACTTTTCATTGAAAAAACCTTATAAGCAGAGTATAGACAAGTTATAAAATCTGAGAAGGAACTTCTCATGAGGCTCAGTATTGGTGAAATATAAACTGCAGGTAACATGCAAATGTCAGGAAGCATGATACTATTTACATGTGGCTACTTTACTGCAAAAATCTTGCTGAGCCTGTAAAAGCAGAAATGTAAATCTCACAACACACTCAATAGGACATTCATGCCTAGGAATACCTCATTTATGTAATAATTACTTTAAATTCCTTCTACAGACTACAACATAAGAAACCAACCTCACCCTAGTGATTTCTTGTGTCAGAGCTTCAATTTGTTGCTCTTCATCAGATGAATCATCTAGAGTTGGCCGATGAAGGTGTCTAGTGTGAAGTGTGTCAAGATCATGAATTTTGGCTCGTAATCGAGTCAGTGAATACTGAGCCTCCTCTAATCCATCAGCCCATGCAGGTGGCATCCGCGATTCTCCTGCTCTGCGAAGTTCTATGCCTGATTCAATATCTGCGCCAACCAGGGCCATTCGATCTGTCACTTGCTGCGCATACATAAATTTATATTTATATAATACTGCAGTGTGCTTACAATGAATAACTTGTAAAATATATGAATTCTGTGGCATCCACCTCCTGTATTGGAAGCATATAATGATAATGTATACGGTAGAGTTGTCCCTGTGTTTAACAAATTAAGCATTATGCCATGAAGGCATATGGGGGAGTGGATATATTGATCCAGATTTTCTTGACCTCGGCACTAGCCGGAGGTGAGTTAATGATAATATGACATTTATTAATTCCAGAATGTAACCTAGTGTATACAGTGAGCCGGGACAGCACAGTCGGTATAGAGACTGGCTACAGGCTGGACAACTAAGGGGTCGGAGTTCAAGTCCCTGTGGGGGCAAGAATTTTCACTTTTCCATGTCGTCAGGACCGGCTCTGGGGTCCACCCAACCTCCTATCCAATGGGTACTAGGGGTAAAGGGGCAGGGGCATGAAGCTGACCACCCACCTCCAACTAATGCCATGGTCAAGAAAATGTGGATCTATAAATCTACTGTCCCATACGCCTTCATGGCGTAGTGCTTAATTTGTTAAGCACGGGGAGAACTTTACCTTTTTTTATACCTAGTGTATGTATATATAGTATCCGGGAAAACATACATAATACTTACTTGTTCAGAATAAATATGCCTACTTTGCATAGCATTGTTTCGCATCAAAATGAAAACCTCTGTGAGACAACGGGATGCCATTTTCGATGTCCTATTACTTGTCAAACACTTATCATATTTCGAAGAAAGGTTAAATGTCACGCATACCCCTATTGTAGCCTGTTACTACACAGCTGACTTTCCGATAAAAACGAGTAAATCAATTGTGTGGTCGCTGTCGTCGACACCAGCACCGTGAAACCCCGATGTCAATGGTTGGCAAATGGCCGCCATGACACCTCGGTACGATGCTGCTGCCATCTATTTTCAGCTTACATGAACTAAATTTAGAATGGCCTCCAGGGCCGAGAGCACAATCGGTAAGAAGGTATGCTACCTTAGCAACTATTTTGAGTGCTCCCTTTCACCCCCCTTTCAATTCTTTTTTTCGCGTCTTGCAAAAAATACTTTTACAACCAGATCTCTTGTATTGCAGTCCCACCTTCCTTCTGGCGTTCCCACCAATATCCTATATGCATTCCTCGCCTCCCCCATTCGTGCTACATGCCCTGCCAACGTCAGCCTCTTCGACTAGTGATATTGAGCACAGTTTTGAACTCGAGTCGACTAGTGAAGACGGAGACTCCTAGTGCGAGTGGAACGGCGAAATGGAAATTGTGTATATCAGCGATACCGCTTTATTGTATGTATTAAATGTAATTAAGAGAATCTGTAACCAAAGTTCTAAGAAATCCAATCAACCGAAGAAGAACCCGTCATTTTTCGTCATTCATACCACCCTAAATATGACAATTTTATATGTACTAAACGAATTAAATACACATATTAAACTAAAGAACTCAATTTTTTCAGATGTTTATCGAAGTTCTGTGTGGGCTCCATTGGTGGCTCTGCGAACTTTTAAACGGTATTCCATTTCCTGCCACAGTTGACCAAGAACACCAGGAATGACAGATGCAGCGGCTTCTCTGATTCCCTGTTTCAAGTGTTGAATGTTGTGAATATGAACACTGTAGATGATTTGTTCCACATGCCCCCAGAACCAAAATCCAGGGGTTTCATCTCCGGAAAGGGTAGGGGGTATTTCTTCCATCCGCCCCTCCCAATCCAGCTCTGTGGAAATGTTGCATCAAGAAATTCAGTAACAATATCATCATAGCGCGCAGGATCACCATCTTGCTGAAAGATCACATTATCATCATCATCATCATCATCATCATCATCATCATCATCAATTCGGAGTACTGCTAACATTTGCAACATGCTAAGAGCGCACCACACGCTCATGTTCAACAAAATTATGGAAGCGTTCCTTAGCCCAAATTCTTACGTTGTTTCGATGGACATGTCCCGAACATGAAAAGTGGCCTCAGCACTGAAAATTACATGATGTAAAAACTTCCGGTCCTTGTCAATTTCATTAAGAATATCCTAAGCAAAATCGTATCTTTAGCTATTATCACCTGGGCAGACTGCATGAAACAACTAAAGTTTATAACCAGTAAAATGCAGTCATTTTTTAATTTTCTCCAGTCCATTTAAGCACTGATTTCTTCGGACAGCAGATAAAACCGTTTCGGATGTTCTCCACCGACACGCCCAGAAAGCTGTTTGTCCAGTTGGCTTCCCGTCTCTCCCAACGACGAATGCTATTTCGTCTGATGGTTCTTTGTTAAACACACGACGGTACTCACGTCGTATTTGAGTAAGATTCAAATTTTGCAAGTCGCAAAACACACTGCGCTTTCCTTCTAACTGTCGCCATCTTGCGTAAATCACTCGGCGTGTTAGCGTCACCTTGGACACGTTGTGCGTAACTGCTTGACCTCCCTCCCTCCCTCCCTACATCACTATTCAAAGATCCACTTGTTAGATTCCAGCAATCGAATCATTTAGAACCCCACCATGAACTTGGGGCAAAGACATATTAACAAAACGTACGTGCTTACAATTCAGGGACATTTAGTGTAACTGAACTCGGTATTATATCAATTTCATGTCCCATCCAATTGATCAGGTGGAACACAACCCACTAGTTAATAAGCGCTGACGTGACGGAAAAATGACATGAGACTTGGAACTCTGAACATGTGGTATCTGTGTAGGACAGATACACTGAAACTAGTAGGAAGAGAATTGGCAAAGTCAAATACAATTTAGATGCAGTGGGTATCTACGACATGTGGGAAGAGGCGCCACTGAATCTGTGTAGACAATTCTGTATTTTTTCCATCAAAGCAATAATAAAAATCACTTAGAGCAGGCCATTTCATAGCAAAGTAACGAGGTCAGATGTCATGAGGGCCGAGTTTATTATTCCCAGGATCTCATAGAGAATACTAAGAGGTAATTGGTGTGCCTGAGAAGTGCTCAATTGCAAATAAAAATTACAAAATAACTTTCTAGAGGAACTAGAGCGTTCATTTCCATATGCAAATGTTGTTAGATTTCATGAAAATGTAACAAAATACAGGATTTTCAAACTCAAACTGGGAATGGTGGTTGATAAATTATTAATAAGAGTGGATTGCAGGAGGATATGTTCTATCTTATTTGACTGATACTGTGTAAACCACATAAGATCAACTGACATCAGAGGTTGAAGACCAAGGCAAGCAAGAACCCAGCATGAAGCAGAAAGCCATGGTTGGTAGCATTAACATGGCAGACGACAAAGAAGTATAGATTCAGATTACTTGGTTCACCTGTTACGGTACCCACACTGCTTACCTTAGTATCCCTATGCTCAAAGAAGTCCTGTCACACTCTCTCAGCATGTGGCTGGAGAGCACTGTCAGCAACAGGTGCACACACTCAGTAACAACGTACCCCAGTTAGGCCATGGCCACTTCCTTCCAATTCATCAATCACCGTACTACCCCTGTGATACATAGTCACAATACTGTCAGCATTGTATCAGGGGCATTCAAATGAAAACGGGTCAGAATCCACACATATTAAAGAACGTTTTTTACCTCAAAAGTAATCTCCAAAACTGTTAATACATTTATCCCACTGGGAGATAAAACGGTCAGTCCCTTCCTTGCAAAAGCTTGTGGGCTATCTACGGAACCACATCTTTACCTAGCCACACACATCATTTTTCAATGCAAACCGACGTCCATGAATGTCTCTTCAGGTCTCCAAGAACGTGAAAATCATATGGGGAGATCTAGGCTGTAGGGGGGATGTTGAAGAACTTGCCAACCAAATCTCTGTAGTGTATTCTTCACAGAATTGGCACTGTGGGGGCGCGCATTATCATCAAGAAGGATAAAGTCGTTCGATAGCATTCCAGGGCGTTTTGACTTTATGGCATGTCTCAGTTTCTGCAAAATGTCTTCATAGGACTGTGCACTGATTGTGGTACCATGCTCGAGAAATTCGACTAGCAGAGGGCCCTTGCAGTCGAAGAAGCTCATCGTCATCATCACTTTATCGGAACGTGTGTGTACTGCTTTGGATTTCTTCAGTGGGGGAGAATTCACTTGTTTCCACTGTTGGCTCTGCTGTTTGCTCTTAGGTTCAAAATAGTGCCACCAAGTTTTGTCCCCAGTGGCAACGCGGGATAGAAAAGCATACTCTTCCTCATGGTATCGTTGCAAGTGACCCAGTGATCCAGCTATCCTCTGTGTCTTCTGCCCCTCCATGAGTTGATGTGAAATACACCGCACACAGATTTCTTGTCACAATAACATGTACGGAACCATGACTTATTCCCATCAAAAGACTAATTCCTTCCACAGTGATCTGTCAGTTTGCCCAGATATGTCCATCCAACGCAGCAATAATATCGGGAGTGATGACATGGTGAGCCTTTCCTAGGCCAGCATCATCTTGCAGTGACATATGTCCCTCTCAGAATTTCTTATGCCAAGACAGAACACGCAAACGTGGCATGCTGTGTTCGCCGTAAACAACAGACATGTGACTATAAATTTCTAGTCCTCCAACTCCTTCAGCAGTCAAAAAGGGCGCTACACTTTGGTGTTCTTCTTTACCTGCCTCTATTACTGATGTTGGACGACGACACATAGCACTAACCATACTTCCAGCACAATAAACAAATGACTAGTGTGCAAGGGCACATTGTCACTGTGCTTTCCCGGGTGCCCACCAGATGTTCATACCATAAGCAAATTCCAGTGTTACTAAGTTGTGCGTCATGTGAGTTATGCGTGGTGACCCATTTTCATATGACTGCCCTTATAAAATAAAAGTGTGTACAGTAAGTCACTGACTGCATGTAATGAAAATGTTGTTTGCTTCACATAACAGCAGAGCTGCAGCTGAGCAGAGATATGTGTGAATGGTAAGTTGCAAAGGATATGGAAGGCTCTTACCAGACTGTTACTGGTGGTCATGACAAATGCAATGAGTAAACCAAAACATGAAAATATGACAGTAAGCAATGGCCCACTTATATTCAAGGCGAGACTGGTATGAATATTCTTGGGAACCTGCTGCCTCCATTTCAGGCAGACTACCCACAATATCACACCTCAGAAGACGGTAATCTACATATTCAATGGATGTTCAGAAACTGGCTCAACAAGTTGAAGCACGCCTTCAGTGTGAGGGCTGACACACTGAATTTGTCTATAAGCACTTAAAGTTCACATTTTAATGCAACTTTAGGTTACTTTGTATTTCGGACTTCTTTATACAGGCTCATTATGCCACATATTAGAACAGCCATTCTCAATCTTTTTGGTGTATGTACCAACATCCACTTTGTAAAAAAAAAACAAATCTAATGTCCAATCTACATTTTAATATGGATCCTCTGAAATTAGAGTTTAACTGAATATGAATATCATTAACTTGAAAAGTTCTAAAACGACAGTTTCACTACATTCTCTGTTGAGTGGTGAACCTCTGGTCCACACGGTACATACACCTTAGGCATAGACACATGCATTTTCGATAACATAATTACTAAAGCCAGTAATAAAATCCACATCTAAAATTTATGTAGGCACATTCAAGTGACTTATGTGGCCGCGCCATAGCTAAAGCGGTTAGTCGCTGGCTTCCCACCATGGCGGCCCAGGTTCGATCCCAGGTCTGGTCAAGTGGGATTTGTGGTGGACAAAGTGACGCTGGGGCAGGATTTCTCCGAGTACTTCGGTTTCCCCTGCCAATTTTCATTCCACCAAATTCTCCAACATCACAATCACCTGGAGCAGGCTTCAATAGACCAAAAGTGGCCGCTGTGCAGAGTGGACCCAGTTGGACTCCAACCCCCACTAAGCGAATTTA